GGAAATATCACAACATGAAACAAAAATCGTTCCAATAACTTTAAAAATCATTAAATAAATGCATAGCTTATCTCTAACTACAAAATGTAAATAAAACAGTTAATGTTTAGTTAAACCGTCATATGATATACAAATATGTATATTAAGTTAATATTGAACGAGTATATATTTTTACTAGCTTGTGTTTCTTACATAGATACGCGTTTAGCGTTTTAGCAATGAACATTTAAACATTACCTATAAAATTTATATAAATACATTTGTTTATAATATGGCATATATTATAGGAACTATTACTTTTTGGTGCTATATATATGTATAGGTAAATATTTCAGTGTATATTTAAATCAAACAAAATATGTGGCTAGACATTTTTATTATTACACATTATGTTAATATAGCATATATGTTCAACATGTATATTATATCTAACTATACATAATATTATAAGATGGATATTTTACAATAAAAAAAATATTTTTTTCAAGTTTCCTTTAACTGTACAATACTTGCATATTATTAATAATATTATATACGATTCCCGCAGGGTATCTATCACGAATAACATTAAACCTACATAATATATAACGATATGTTGCGATTGTTCTATTGGAACTAAAATAACTGTCAAATAAAATTGTATCCAAAATTAATAATAGATGATGGTAACGCAGTTAAATTTTACCTGGTATATTTATATATATTAGTTAATTCATATATAAAATATACCTATATACATACAATTATTACTCAAACGTTTATAATATATACAATATATTTTTACGATAAATAAAGTTACTCAGAATTTTTTGTTGCATACTGAAATTCGATTTGATTTGTTACTTACCTATACATAGTATAAAGTATAATAATAACTATAATTATTGTGCATACAAATATTTATGTGTGTGTATATATATATATAATATAGACGATTTTAAAAGCTATTTTATGTATTATAAATTATAATAAAAATACTGTCAAGATCGTATACACATTTTGTGTATACTATATTATATAGTGTGTATAATATACACTGTATATTATACCATAAATATAGGCATATATATTATTGCTACATCGTTCGTTTTTGTTTGTCTTACTATTGTTCATTTTAATTTCCAAAAATTGTTTAATTTTTTTAAATGTTGTAAATGTTACAATTTTTTGTAGTGGAACGAGCAATGAGTATAAAAATATAAGGCGTAAATAATTTTTAAATGTTGTTTATAGATACAATTAATATAGGTAAATTAAAAAAAATTTAAAAATGGATTTTTATTTAGTGGTTATTTCGAAATAATTTGTGGTAATTACCTAAGTATATCTATTAGGAAAATTTAAAAAATACATCTATGTGACAAAATTGAGATTATTAAAATTATTGGTACCCGGTACATTATAATAAATTATACGCTGAATACGTTTCATCATATTGTAATACATTTAATAGGTAACTAAGTCATAACGCTATTATTTATACTTACTTACCAGTTAGAAATGCGAATAATTATGATTATTGTTTGATTTTTATACACGCTTTAATTTCCATACGATCGTTTCCGGTTGTAGATATATATTTTTATAAGAAAGTGGATTTACCACTAGATACTATATACATATAAATACTTATACCTACGTTTATGTATGAATAGTTATTGTTATATTACATATATAATTAGTATGGTATTTTTATAAAAGGTTCTATAAATCATATTGAAAAATAGTACTTATGGCTAAACTCTTAAATAGTTGTAACTTAAAAGCACAAAATATGACCCAAAGAAATAAAAATAAATATTTTATAAGCCCGAAAAAATATTATCTTTTTAACAACCCATAAGCACAAATACATTTTACAAGATTAAAGTGTAATTTTTAAAATCCTAGTCATTATTAATTGAGCTTTTACAGTGATATTAAAATGAGTTGAAAAAAAAATTACCAAGTGGGTACTGCACTGCAGCTATATAGTGTCCAGTGGTTCACTATTTTGAGTGTATTAAATATTTAAATTTAATGATGTATCTATAATTGTAGGTACATTTTTTAGTAGGTCAACAAAATATATTTTATGATATTTTTTATTGATGTAATCAAAATAAAAAATATATATATTTATACCATATTATATTATTATTATTAATACTATATACCTTACTGTAAAACAGTGAGAATAAGTTCACGGTGTAAATATGTAGGTATAATATTTCAAAATTAATTTATATATTTTTCAAATCTCATTTCATATACCTAATTAATAATATACATAAAAATTTAAAGATAACCATTATGGTTACAAAAAAATATTTTAAAATAAAATAATTTTCATAAAAATTCTCGTTTTTCCTTAATTGCTCGTTTGTTTTAGGCCGATTATAATAAAAGGGCTTGGAATTTTTAATTTTTACCTCATTAAAGTATAAATTAGATACAATGTGTAATCCTAAACTTTTCTCAAAGTTGAAAATAGATGATTTTTTCGACTTCTTGTCTTGTATAGATACGTATATACAGACACAAAAAAAAAAACACACGCACACGTATCTTTGTTAAATCAATATACCTATATTCATTCTCCGCTCAGTATATATAAAATAAAAAATAGAATTTTAGAAGTATGATAAGTAATACTGAGCACCTACCTTAAAATTAAATTCGAAATTTGAAGCCATAAATTTTAAGTAGTTTAATATAGATTCATTCAAAATTTTTAAAATACAATACAATAATAATATTATTTAACTTAAATTAACTCTATCACTGTTGTTTTTGAAATAGAAAAATATTGTATACTATATTCGAATATAATGAACGTACAATTCTAAACTAAAACTTATAGCGTAACAGGTGCAATGTTATTGTATCAGATAATATAAATTATTTTTGCGCTTTTATCTCACTGCTAAGGTAAAAAACAAAAAAATTTACGCTTTTGAGTTATACCGGCAAAAAAAATGATTTGCAATTTTGGTTATCACCGTTCATATTGTATAATTTATGTTTATAATTTATTATACTTACGTAATATTTACAGTGTTATATTAAATATGTGCGAGTTCTGACGAATTTTGGGTGAGTAAAAAATCAAAAAATGACGGAAATAGCGCATGCGATTGCAGGGTAGGTATGTGGCAATAATATATTATTAATTGTAGGTATACAATAATAATTTATATAAAGCTGCAATGATCGCTAAAAATAATAATATTATGAATAGTAGCAGCACTATCATAACTATAACATTTCATTCCTATACCTAAATAAATTTATATATATTTATATTGGAAAATGCATTTGTGACCGACCAGAAATAAGAAAGTATATATCTATAGATTATAATAAATTACGTTTTTGATCATGTTCAAAATCAAGTCCAATTTCAGCTAACACTTTCTATATTATACCTATGATGTGATATTATTTTAATAAAATTATTTAATATTTAATATTAGCCATAGAAAATAATACTTTATCATCGTCTATATCCGACGATGGAATATAATAATAATAATAATAATATTTATAAACAGTCATTAATTATAGTTAAAAAATTAAAGTAGTGAATTAAATTAAAAAATGATTTATTTTTTACTTTTTTAATAATTAAAAAAGTAAAAATATTATTAATTATTAATAATTAATACTAGGTACTTTGTTAATTTTTCAAAGTAATTTTAAAAATTTAAGTAAATTAATTTAATGTTAAAATATAACAGCTTTTTAATGTCATTTAAAAATAATCCATCAAGTTAAAATTAAAAAGTTGAAACTATTGGTGAATTTTAATGATTTTACATACTACGTATTAATATTAATGTATACATATGGTTTTAAATAAATATTATAATCTATAAGGGCACCTACCATTATTTTTGTTATTATTATATTTTTTGATAAAACAATATTATGTGTAGGTATATGCTTAGATATTTAGATAAACATAATATGTATACTTTTTATGATGTGGTCCATTTATTACTAATTAAAAAAAGTAAATTAACTTCTATTAAACAAATATGAGTTATTTCAACTTTTTTATTCTTATTTATTTTAAGAAAACTCCACACATCTTCTATTTAAGGGATTTAATAAAAGACATTTAAATTAAATTTTGAAAAAAATTAAAAATTATTTATCTTAAATGTATTTAAATGCTAATTCAAAGTATTTAAAAGTGGTCCCATATTAATCTAACAATGACTCTATATAATATCATTACATAAAAAAAAGATTTCGCGTTGAACAAACTTACGAATACATATCGTTTGCAGTAGATTTACTAATTATAATATTCACGCTGTTAACGAAAAAAAAAATTAATAATTTGAATTGTTATTAAGTCATCGGAAAAAATAAATAAAAACACTACAACAATCATAAAATTAATTACGGATGGCGTGGCGTCCTCTTAAACTCGCTTACGAATTAAATTTTTATTATTTGTTAGCTATATCTATACTATATTATTAATTTCTATGACTTATAATTTAACATAATATATATACCATTCCATCCGAATCAATAATTTTCCCTGCGTCTTTGAAACGCTATCTGAGAAATGATCATTTTTTATTTTTACGACTGTGGCGACGTCCAAGAATCCAAAAACAGAATAACAAAAAGACGAGATAGAATAATAATTGTAAACAACCGAGAAAAACGGAGTTGCACATCGCCGCCGCGTGTGGCGTCCGGGCGGCATCGTCGGAGGGAGTTAACGGGTGGCGTTGGGTGGCGGGTCGGGGAAACGACCGAGCCCGGCGGCGACGCGTTTTGTTTCGTCGCCGTACACCACACCCACCCGCCCTCTGCACCATCATCGCGGCGGCGCATCATCTAGGCCTGTGGCGTCGGTGGGCGGCGGCACGCGATTCGCTGCGCGCGCCGCCGCCACCGGGGCGCTGGGTACGAGCGGGAGCCGCCGCCGAACCGGTGGCCGCATCGGCCTATTTAAGGGCCGGTCTGCGCTGGTCTGGCATCAATACGGTTCCGTTTTCTGTAGTTCAGTACGCTCTTCGACGTTCAATCTCGTGATTGTTTTTTTTTTCTTGTTTACTTAACGCGGAGTGTCTTTTTTCGCGATGATAATTTACGGGTTAGTGTCCGTGTTTTTCATTACTACGATCGTGACTGGCGCGGTTATCAACGGACCCGCCAAACGTGTACCTGCACACGAATCCAACAATATTGAAGCCAACCATGCAGCTACTCCAATTGGTAATATATTTTTGATTTTTTTTTTTTTTTTGAATATTATGGTTTGTGTCGAACGGTAGAAAAAAAATGCTAAATACATCACTTTTTAATATTATAATATTATATTAATTCAACCTCGCAGCACATAAACTGTATGCATTTGAAATCGTATAATTTAAATTCTTAATGTAATAATATGATGGATTTTAATTTTTCTACCATTCGATAATTACCTATAATAGTCGAATTTTATTTAAATACGTGTTCAAACGTAATTAGGTAGACATAGGTATCTACATTGTTTTTTGGAAATTGATTTTTTCGTCTGTACAATAATATATTAATATGCTAACATTTGTTTGTACCTTCATTGTAATTTTTACGAATTTTTCAATTAAATCTATGAATATTTATTTATATATTGAGTATCATTACTAAAACGTAATTATGATTTACTGCAGAGTTTAATATATTGCCGCTAGTAAATTAATATAATATTAAATGGACGAATTTATATTTTATAATATTGTTATTGCTTAATGGTAATATATCGTATATTAGTGTGTATGACTTTATGATTGGTATATATTATTCTCGTTTATTCATATTTGACATTTAATGTGTATGGTAATTATTTGCTATTATTTAATCATTAAGATATATGTAGGTACTTAATAATTTAATATCTAGTTAAATAATTTTAATATTAGTACCTGTTATTATTTATTTTTATGACATATTTTTTGTGAAAAAAATATGATTCTTTTCAAACAAATATTTTATTATTTATTCGCTGCCAATTTTTAGTATATGTAAGAAATTTATATTAAAAATGTTTTTCTAAATATTTCATTAACGTGAAATGAATATATTTTAAATTTGAAAACTATTATCTCTATTATCGTATTTCTATTTGAGAACATTATTGGTTTATTTTTCTATTACATTTTGTAAAAATATAATTTGATTCAATCATCATAATTCATAATAGTACCTACTAGTACTCTAAGTTACTATCCCATGTTTTGTTTTTGATTATGTTTAAAAGTATATAGTTATTGTTTTTTCAAATTAAATAATTTCGTTTTATCATATGCCCATTGTATCAATGTTTAAAAAAAAAATTCTCGGCATTTTCATAATTATATTACCTATAATTATTATAGTTAACAATAATAAGTGCATAAGACCATAAGAGATATAAATCACAATTAATAATAAACTAAATAAGTGAACAAAAGTTAAAAAAATATATTGATTTTTAAATTTTTTTATTAAATTATTTATGTACGTATAGGTATAATATTTTATCCAAACAATTTTTTAACAATAACTTTAATAATTCTTTAAAACTCTTAAAATATTCCGGAGACTAACTCTATGTCATTTTAAGATAATGGTAAACCATTGGATTAAGTCCATCTATCGTACCCCCTAGTATCGCCATTTATGTTTTTAGCTGTTTGCTTTATGTCCATTGAATATATATTATATAGCATGTAGGTGGTATGCGTATTATACTATTATAACGTCTAGTAATAATAATTGTATTACTTGAAACATCATTTAATTATTTCAAAAGGTGTAGGAGGTACTTATAATACCCATAGTATAAATCCGTTTCGTTAAATTCGTGAATAAAATCATATATAGTGGATTGCAGTGCTTAATCACAACAGCAGTACCAATAATATATTATCAATTAATATATTATATTACGTTGTGGTGAATTTTGTGGCACGCGCGCGGTCGAGGTTAAATCGGATGATCTGAAAAACTGTCCATATATTTTATAAATTATATATAGGTATTTACGCCTCATGTTGAAAGTGATATAATATTATGTTTGATTGTACGCTATTATTGTTGCTCTATTTTTAGCAGCAATAGTTGTATTTTTTTCGTCACGAAATAATAATACTATAATCGAATACATCGGTATTATAGAATAACAAATGTGTGCGCGCGCATGACTGGGCCGGCACGCGCGCCAGCAGACGACCGTTTATCCCGCGCGCTCCTTCCTCTTTCACCGTCGCGCCCACTCGATTCGGTGGCGGTGACCATGTGCGCCTAACAACAACAACAACAACAACAACACCAGTAGTAATATTAGTGTAGTAGGAATAATAATAATAATAAATCCTTGTAAACAAAAACAACGGCAGCAGGTTGTTGCTGCGCGTTTACTTTCTGTGGCGTTCGCGCATTAAACGTACCGTCGCCGTTTATACAAATCTGATAATATTATTAATTTATTATCATCGTTATTATTATTATTATTATTATTATTACTATCATTGTTGTTGTTGTTTATTATCATTATTTTTCTGAACTTCTGAGTAGTAATAAATTATTACGTTTTCTATAGATACTATTTTACACGCGTGTTTAACATTTTTTTTCTCGCAGCGATTTAGTTCTTTAATCAGCTGTTGTCTACTGGTTGTTGTCATATTATTAGGATTTGAAACTATTGTAACTTGCACTTTGAGTTCAATTGTTCCTCTAAAATATGTATTAAAAATATTTTTAAAAAATCATTTCATACATAAGTATATTAATTGTTGAAGATAAACATAAATTGTATTCCTGATATTTTTAATCCTGTCTTATTTTTGAAAATTTATTGAAGGGGAAATGTTTGTAAAATATTTATACCTTTACGTAGCGTAATCCTTAAAATCCTTAAAATATCATATAAATTGAATATTCTGTATTTTTAAACGTGTATATCTAGTTGTATAAGGGTAACTTGCTTTATTATGTTTTACTACATTCTATACAGATATTCAATTACGCTAAATTGCAAGTTTTATATACCGTCAAACAATAACACGCAGGTTATAAAACTTCAATACAAAAATATTTATTTTATAATTGTGCAAATACTATATTACTATGTACAATATAATAACGATGATGATGTTTTGATTACAGAAATAATGACCACTGTCAAACCGGCCCAATCACCCTTAATCACTTGTTTCTGTAACATGCCCGAATGCTTATCCCCTGCCGGAGGTGATGGTACCTGCTCTACTCGTCTGGGATGTTTTTCCGAGGTTCGCACAGCTATTCCACCGATGGGAGAAATTTTAAGATCTACGGACTTTGCAGGAAATGAAACCATCTACGCTGACAATGCCCCCGCAGTTTTTCCAACTATTCCTAAAATTTCTAATGGTGGAACCACTTCAAATGCCACAGAACCTTCATCCGTAAGAGGTTCATACGGCTGCTTAGACTTGTTGCATTACTCGTGAGTTTATATTATATATATATATATATAACATAGACATATTATAATAATATGTATATTATACACATTTTTTATCTTTCGTGGTGGTTCCAGGAGTAAGAAACCCCTCAATTTTTTAATCTTGGACTAAAATTTAAACGAATTTTTTAAACACGTGTACACCTATATTATAATATGTATAAAATAGGTACACATCAATGAAGAGTATAAAGTACCATAAACCCATAAAACTTTTCCACTACATTGCTTAAAAAAAAACTGGACCTTCTACGTCTGTTTTGTATATTTGTACGTTACGTTTCATAATAGATGTATAATATTAATTTATCACATTAATCTTTAAATTAGTGATGCACGTTTTACATGCTTATATTATATTGTTATAATTTATTTATCGGCAACTAATGTAGGATAGCTGCGAGTACATAATACACCTCATACAATTTTGTATAGGTAGTCGCTGCGTAGATATACATAATGTTATTGTGTATTTATTTAGTACGGGCGTCATGTACCTATATAACGTTGACCGATCTCATGCTTGACCATAATTTTGTTTTTGAAATATAATGTCGTATTAAACTATAATAGAATAATATTTCATACAGCTAAACTGTTTGTTTGTACATATTATATTTTCACATTTAGCATAGATAACTAGTCATAGTCGTTTTTTTTTTATTATTATTTTTAGATATTGTTGGATTTTCTTTTCTTTTTTTCCACAGCTGCTTTTTAATTTTTACTTTTAATTATCTTTATAATAATTTTACTCATATACTATAGCTTTGTACGTCGTTTTGGTGTACCTTAAAGTACCGTCGCATAATACATTTACACGTTAAAATAATTACTATTATCACACAACACGAACACATGTAATATATACCTATAGGCAAATTGTGTATTCTTCGACAAGTAACTACAAATACCGCGTAACAAAGGGTTTTCAGATAAAATAATTTTCTATAGCGTAGATGGTACTTAATAGGTGGTAATAACGATTTCAAATTAGGCGGCACTTTAATATCTCACAGCATGCAAAGTTTTATTTTTCAATAGTTTAACACTATAATATACATAATTTATAAACACACGTATTTAGAATTTTCGCATCCTATATAACCTATAACAAAGTATAATATTGGCAAATAGATTATTTAAAAGTTCAAAAGTTCCTGTATATAACCATATTTAACTACATTTTACTATAACAATACATTAATTAAAACCATATTTTATAACAATTAAAAATCTTTTCAATTATAATATATGAAATAGAAATTAAACGTTTCATTGAATCTTTTTTTTCTTGGTTAGGTATTTACATTGTCCATATTTCCATTAATTACATACAATTCTATAGTTCATCATGCAACAATAACGAATTATATTATCGAATATTATATATCATTTATATTTTTACTCTTATAAGAATTTTCGTGTGCATAATACTGATTTGGATGTGTTTTTTTTTTTTTTTTTGTCTGTTTGCGGCGCGTTTCTGCTCGTGTGCCCCCGACTACGCTTATTTCCGACGAACATATACAGCAAACAACCTTGTGATGAAATCTTAAAATCTATGGAATCAGATGCTTCTGAATTCCCAGTCATCCAAGCTCCTACAAACACTGCTCAACCTTCTAACAACGCTCTAGTGCTCGCTTTTCATTGCTGCCAGACTCCAAGATGCAATGGAAATCAATCGGGCCCAGCAGAAGGTTCTGTCAAATCGGCTCAAGCCGTACTCGTAGCTGCATTAAAAAGTTCTCTCGCCATGAGTAATGAACCAAAATCTGAAATCGAACAGCATTCTACAGCAAAGGTGGCAGTGGACCCCGTAACAACCAAATTATCTTCTGCAGATATTGCTCAAATGACAAGAGAAACGTTTGAGGAAATTGGACCTGCATTACTCGTTTTGGGTGAACCTTTTCCTCCATCTGCCCTTAAAAATGAAATCTCCCAGAAGATCATTTCCGCCGCCCCCATTGTGATGCAACCGATATTGCCTGCAGAGGCCGTACCGGTTCAGCAGGATGTAATTCACAATGAAACTGTCGGAAATTTGGGACATGTTGTTGCTAAACGTCACGACAGTCAAAGTGGTATGTAAAATAACATGTTGTTTTGACAGCGTACTTGTTAATAAGTGTAAAATATTATACAATTTAATAACACTTTATATGTTTGTTGTTAATCTGATGTGTACATAATACCTATAACAATAATATAATGTGTTTAATTAATTATAATATTATACTACTTATAATACAATTCAATATATATATATAAAAAAAAAAAAAATTTACAATTTTTAAAATTTTGCTTTGATGTTATATTATGAAATACTCACGTAATAAATTGTTGTGATTATAAATGACTTCATTGCCTGTTTAAAAATGTAAATAAAAAAAAAAAAAATGGTCATGACCAACAAACGTCTTGTATTTTTTTATTATACATTTATTGTACTTATATCTCATCTAAATATAAAATTACAGCCAATATAACAGTTTTATATACAGCAGAAACCGTGTATAATGATGGCGTTCAAGGAACAATAAAAAATGTATGGTAATAAACTAATTAAGAAAAAAAAGTTATTAAAAAATATCATACATTATACTATTACATTTAAAACGCAAAATATTTTCTCAATTATTTATATCATTAAAAAGTAAACCTAATCTGACACTACAACCGTTGGAATTATAAACGGTTTCTACTGTGTATATATATTGTTTAATATATAAAAATTACATATACGCTTACGCAAATGGTGACCTATCTAATTTTTGAATGGACGACATCATTTGCAATACCTAGATAATAATTTATAGTCAATGCTTTTTCAACTTAATCAAAATAGACGAGTAATACATGTATTTCGACCACGATATATGTATCGAAATGTGTTTAAGTTAATTCAAATCGTTACATTATTTGATATCGTGGTATAAATAAGAATTTTTAAACTGAAAATAACGAAATGTAGACGATATGCTTATCGTTGTTGTCCTTGGGTTATTTTTATAAAAAAAAAAAAAAACTCAATCACAATAACTCACAAGCACACACTAATAACGCATGATGTCTATGTATAAAACGCGTAAGACATGACAGAGTTTTGTCTCATTTGAACACATCGTTTAATTTTTTTATTTAAATCTCATCTCTGATGATCAATCGTTTGTGTATATAATATAAACTCCGACCACGGTCACAGGAAAAAGGTATAAAGTTGATGATACTGCAATTAAGTGTGCATGTGTTTGAATACTACAGAGTAGTAGTACTAAATAGGTTGTTACATTATTTTAGTCAGAGTATTCACAGAAAGCGCGACGAGTCAAACTTCATCAGTTAACTAAAGTTATACATTTTATAAAATGATAACGTCGGTTGAAGGAAAATAATACTGATATTTTTTAAATATTATATTATTATTTTATAGTCTGACATTATACGTTGAAAAATATCTTAATGTTGAAAAACAATTACCAACTTAATTAAATCGGCGTCGACGACCAAAATCTACATGTAAAAAAAAAAAAAAAAATGAAATAATAGTAAATTATACATATTTTATATCTACACAAATTTGTCTCGTTGGTATCTAAATAATATTTAGTTTGACTAGTCGCGCTCAGAAATGGCAGAAATTGACCCGAGAGCAGTCTGACTGATATTAAAAATAAAGTACCTAACTATTGGTTATATTATCATATTTATAATGTGTATTATTATTATCACATACACATTATATTTGATAAATGATGGTAACTATTGATAACAATAATAATAATCTATATAAGTCTATTGCTCTCGTCCTTAATAGACACCACACACAATCGACCTTATATATCCAGCAACCGTGGTCGTATCGTTTATATTATAAATGCGATATGTACTTAAGTGCGACCAGCGACAATATACATGCCATATGTAATGGTGTGGCGGAGTGAGTATAATAATCAAGAGTCAGTCGATTCTGAGTTTTAGGCGGTTAGCCAATGGGTAATAATTAAGAAATAACTACTACAGGTAGTTAAAAATAAACTGACAGTAAATTATGCCCTAATCGCGATTTGAATGGGTGGAATATCAGATTCGTCTATGAACAATTATACAAGTTCGCCACGCCACTGTACAATTCAATAATAAACTTTTACAAAGATTTGCGTGTATATTGTCGTGTCGTCGTCGTCATCATCTTCTCTGTTCTACACGACGTGTAGGTACCTATAGATATTTAATATAATATAATTAAGATATTGTTTTATCGGTTTCATATGTGCAGTCGCACCAATTATGAAACAGACCACCTACGACCAGGAAAACATTGGAGACTTTGACGATGACATCGCAGCTGAGGTTGCAGCCGCTTCCGCCACTGCTAAGTCACTTCCTATGCTCGACCAACAGAACTTTGAGTCTTCGTGGACTCCTCGTCACGGCGGCGTGCCAGATTTTGTACCACCTCCAACCCTGCAAAAGGATAACGACTCCTATTTACCCTCTTACGTCAACAACAACTACGTCAACGATGACAGTGGCATAAACAATTGGATGATCGGCATAACCTGCGCCATCGTTGTGGCGAGCATAGTCGGTCTATCGCTGTTGATAATGTCCGTCTTCAAAATCATACGCAAGTCGGACATATTCAGAAACTACAAGAGGTGAGTAATCCGCGTATATGTTGTATATTCGTCGCTCGACTTATTCGATCTGTTGCGCGCATTAATAACGATAGGGAGGGAAAAAGAAGTTTATTATCAACAAAGATAAGTACGTTTCTTAGAGAAAGATAGCATATACACTTGACGCCTTAATGTCTAACCATATAAATACAGTACCTAGATAGGTAAGGTGGTAAAAACTAAAAATAAAGTACTTTTCAGATTTTTCAAAAAAAAAAAAAAAAAATGATTTGCCATTTAGATATTAATTTTTGTATTCAACAAAAGTACATATAAGATGTAATACCTTTAACATGCCGTGATCCGAGTTGCAGATGTTTTTAATGAATATCTTTTTTCTTATACAATATAATCGCAACAACTTTATAATACCATAGGTAGGTGTTACCATCGATTTTAGAATATACTACTTTAACATTATATATTCTAAAACCAATGGTATTTTACGCGCATACGATCACAACAACAATAACAATTATGACGATTTTTTATCGTTTTTATAACTCTTATAATTTACCAGTCACTGTAATATAATATAATAGAAATCGATTTTAATTCGTCGTTCGTCTGTTTTGTGTTTTCGCATGACATCATATTATTATCATCGTCGTCGTCGTCGTCGTCGTCGTCGTCGTCGTGTATGAAAAAACGCAGCGTGTGCAGCAACCCGGGAGAACCGTGCGCATGCAACGGCGGGATGACCAGACGCCGGCCGCGCGCGCAGCCCGATCTCGACGCCGCGGTCGCCGCGTTACGCCGCAGCACCACCTCCACCACCGCGCCGCTGCTGCCGCCCCCCAACCCCGGCCGCAAGAACCGCGGCGGCGGCGGCCACGCCAACGCCGGCGCGTCGTACAACGACTCGACGGGCGACACCACGTACGTTTTCACCACCATACCTGTGCCCGACAACGTGCTGCCGCTCATACCGGTGGTCCGCCGTTAGCGCTTGGACGTGTCGCAGTCCAAAGCGCCCGCACCCCAGGAGAGAAGGTACCTATCATGATGTCGTTGTCGTGCGCGCGCTATTAATATACATAATTATATATAATATTGTTTTGAATGTCGCAATGTTGTGCCGGGTGTTTGCCGTGTGTGTTACTGTATCGGTGTCAATGACGACGACGGCGAGAGCGTATATTATCACAAAATCGCACGTCATTCCCGTGTCCGTATCTGCACACGCGCAATGCACAATATTGTATATATCATTACATGTATATATATATATATTATGGCGTAGATGGATGATAGGTATATTATTATTTTTTGTATTTGTAAATCGCGTGTTCTTTGGCTAAGACTGATGAGGAGAATATTATTATTATACTATTATTTTCTTTTTCTTTTTTTTTTTCTTTTATTATCATCGTATCAATGTATAATCCACTAAGGGACGAACAGGTTAGATTAGACTATTAATTGGTCAAGTTATAATAAATATTATATAGCTATTAGTTGTTGTCGACTGCCGTAAGCCTGGGACGGAAAGCGCTGACATTGCAGGGTCCAACTGTACCTATACTTATACTCATGTATTAACACCGACCAGTGAAACTATTACACCGCCTCGTCCGAGTTTCGCCGAGTGCAGTTGTTCGGATCAACTCGGTTATCGCTATATCCTTGTACCGCTATACATGTAGTTACAATATAATTATGATTCTGCACACATAACAACATTTCTAAACTTAATATACAATATAATATACGAACCTTTCGAATGATGTGTAAATATCCCTCATACTATGCACTCGGGATTTTATACAACTAATTCGTTTTTGTTTCAAGCTTTTAAAATTATCTCGATTTATAGTTTATACTGACGTTGTTTTTATTAGATGCGTGCTCGCCAACTAGATAATTCGATTGGTAAAGGATAATGAATGCGAAACGGTTAATTACAGTATTTCCATACGGTTTGATTAGACATTTCTTAAATTTTTACGGTATTATAACCGTATTGACAAAGCAACTTAGTAATTCCCAGTCTTACGGTATTTATATATTATTATTTTTAAACGAATGCGGAGGGTGCTGGGAGATGAATCCTAATATATAATATCCTTCTAGAACGTAATACTTTTACGTTTATGGATCGTTTCATTTGTGTCATCTCTATCTAGACGCCCCTTCTGGCACCCACCCGCACATCGAATTAATGCGCTTTTTTTTATTAGGTATTATATATTATTATATTATAGGTATACATTTTAATTTTGATATAATTTCTAATAATGTCTTACGATAGAATTATGTGGCTCGTTTACGTCGACTATTTATGTTTATTGTTCACAAACAACTAATTAATCAACATTTACATGTATTTTCTTAATTACATATTGCTTTTATCATAAACGTACGATAATTGTAAGATACTATTCTAAACTATCATAAAGTTCCGTGTGGACTGTGTAGTGAGTGTTAAAATATATTTTATTTTTAATAATTGAAAGGTATACAGTGTCAACTACATTTAATTAAAAATAAAATCGGTTAATCAAATTGCCAACAAATTTTTAACACACGCCTTACACGTTCTACACGGAATTTGGAATAGGCATTAGTGTAATAGTATCTTTGCTGTTATTTAACACTTTTTTTTTTTATTAATAATGATATAATTACTATATTTTGTACACGATTATTACCATGATGCATATAGTAAGACACTAATGTAGCAACAGGTCCGTGCCTATAATTCCGATCGTATCGTTTTTAAATCCTTATTATTTACTCTCATTATATTATAATACTTTTTGACTTTTAAGAACTAATAACGAAAAGAAATAAACAGATATTTTGAGAGAGAGAGAGAGAGAGAGAGAGAGAGAGAGAGAGTTTTTCATTCAATCACTATCAAATTTTTACATTACGTCATACTGCTATCTGACATAATAGCTCTTTTTTTTATAAACATATAATAATTATTGTATTAGTCGATAGTAAACTAGCCAATTTTCTCTATTTGAATTTTAAACTATTATTTTTAACTTTTAGTGTGTAATGAATATTTTAGTTAGTAATATTAGTCTGTATAATTTTTATTTTTTTTTGTATCGTTCTTGTATCTACTTGTACTTACAACGAATACATTCAATTTTTAACGATGACTACGTTGTCGCATAAAAAATAATATATTTAAGTTCTTATATCTCATTATGTAAACCTGAATTTCTGTTTATTGGTATATTAAAATGTAATTCAGTAACTATTTTAAACGGATTTTTATATCTATAGTAGTTTTTACTTTAAAACTTGTATTTTATTATTTTGCTGTTTAGTATTAATAATTTTATTTTCATTCATGTATCCGATGATTTAAATAACGACTACGGTCATTAAATACCTATATAATCTTACTATTTTATAATATTTTATACGATTATACGAAATTTTCAAAATTATTCACAATAAATGATGAGATTTTTCTTGTATATTATGTTATTATTTTGTATTTATGTCTTATATTATTAACATACTATTATAATATGAACGGTCTTTGATTTCTGTTCACCCGACGACACATCGTCGGCACGCGCATCACCACTACACAAATCGGTGAAGCATTGCCGATCGGACTATTAAATATTATTATCACAATAATTTACAATTTTTGAGCTGCCAACAACATCACTTTATGTCGTCACTATTCGTCATTGATGCCAGTGTTAATAAAGAATTATGTTACGACATAAGTAATAACCCACGTATGATATAAGTAAAAAAAAAAAAAAAAATATTATCAATACGATTATACATACCATAATATTATTATGTTCTACTTCATCACATAACATTGCAATGGTGTGGGAATACAATACCAATTACGGTTGATTTGGTATAGTTGAGTAGCTACTTATATTTTATAGTTATTACGCATAATATATTATATAGGTAGATACAGGGTCGGACTGGCAACAAAAGGCCCAGTCTGCGATCTGATGTAAGGGCCCTTAAGGCCTTACTAAGGTTGGACTATAAATTGTTAGCCCGCTCTTTACGTCTCCATTTTTGTATTTAAATAAGATAACAATATTATATGGAATAAAAAAAACACATTATAATGATAAACATTTTAGATAAGTGTAATATTTTACACACATACTTTTATTTATAGCAATTTGTAACAACAAATATGAAACAATACATATGTACATAATATGATAATAAACATTTAAATGTAAATAATTAAAAAACTTAAATAAATTACAATTCAATTTAACAAAAGTTTTGAAAGTTCATTAGAACTCTTTGCAATACAATCAATAACACTTTCCTTATCAATTTCAACATTTCTTTCTATATTCATTAATAATAATGCTTCCATTGTATCTTGGGAAATAGTCGATCTTAGTTTGGTTTTAATATTTTTTAATTTGGAAAAGGTTCTTTCACAAGTAACCTGGGTACATGGCAACGTTAATACAAATTTATATGCATAATATATATTGTTAAAACAACCAGACTGTTGAACTATATTGTATAACACATTGAAAGCACATCGTAAACAGTTATTGCATGTTTTACAATTATTAGATGAATCAATTACAGATGCTTGGTCTTCATCTAAATCTAGTTCATGTTCATAAATAGGAAATTGGGAGTCTTCAGTTAAATGTGTTAAAGTAGCTTCAAAAGTTTTAGTAATAGAATTAAACTGTAAAGCAAATTGTTGTAATTCATATGCAAGAGTGTTTCTATCAATAGTTGTTAGTATTTCTATTAACGCATTTGCAGGTACTTCATTTTTTATAGAATTAAAATTTTTAGGATCCAGGCAAACACAATCACTTAATAATTTTGTATTACTTATAAACCGTTTATCCAAGCTGTTTACACAAATATCATGTATATAATTAAATGTTTCAATTTTAAACCTATCAATTTGTGACATATTTGGCCGTTCATCTGTTGCTTTTTCACCAGACATTTTTTTTTTTTTGATACTCTACCTACAGATTTTCCCTCATTAAAATCATTTTTTATAGTGAAATTACTACTATTTAATTCTAACTCTTTATTTATTTCTGTAATAAAATGTTTAACTTTAGTATAAAGATTAATGAATATACTATCAGCATTATCTCTTCTAGATCTAATTTCTTTATGCAAATTGTTAATCATATTAAAAGCTGTTAGATAGTTTAATGACGGTGATTGAAGAAATTTAGAAATAGGTGAGCTAATACTAAATATGTCCAGATAAATTGCTGCTGTCATAATCACATCAAACTTTGACCAATTTTGTAATAGAGTGCGAGCAGTGAATTTTGTTTTTGAATCAAATGTAGAGTGATTTGAAATTATTTCTAGCAAAAAATTTAAAAATAATAAAAATCTTGAATTTTTTATGTCAGTTTCATTAAATTTTATAATAGAGCTTAACGCTTTGTCTTTGCTCCACCAACGTGTAGCACCAATTAAATTTAATCTCCTAAGTTTATCATTACTTGTATGAGTTTTTTTTTGTTAACTCAGACCAAACTTTCATTCTTTTGTAGGAATCTAATAAAAATGTAGATGATTGTTGTACTAAACCGAATAGAAATTCTGCATTTACACAACATTCCGATGAATCGACCATAACTAAATTCAAAACATGACCTACACAATGTGTGTATACACATAATGGATTCTTGTTTTTTAAATGTGATTGTAAACCATTGTATGTCCCTTTCATATTGGCTGCTCCATCGAATGAGCAACCTACAATTTTAGAAATATCTAAAGTTAATTTATGAAATTCACTTGAAATCAAATCATATAAGCCTTTTCCGCTGGAGTCATAAACTATTATCAACTTTAAAAGTTTTTCATGAACTTCATTATTTAAAACATATCTAACACAGATAGCAAGCTGGTCTAAAACAGAAACATCTTGTGTAGAATCTACCATAATACTAAACAGTTTAGCTTGTTTTATATCATTTATTAATTTATTTTGTATTATTTGACCAATGATTAAGATAAGTTTGTTTACAAAAGTTTTTGATAAAAAAGTAACCAATGATCCCCTTCCATGACCATGAACTTGATTACCATTTTTAATATTACATAATTCTTTCTCTTTTCTCTTATTACTTAAATGTATACTGTTTTGTATATGCTCATTCAAAACTACATCATAATCTTTTATTAACCAAACTAATTCTAAAAAGTTACCGTGATTGACAGATCTGTCTTCTAAATTATAAGCAGCTTCATCTTTACCTCTATATGATAAACCTTGTCTACCAATAAATGTAATAATATCAATAAGTCTTTTAACGACTAACCGTCTACATTCAACTTATTGGTTAGGTATATTGGTATATATTTAACGAGTGAGAGGTCCGAACGCATAGATGAAACTTAATGTATAATAGTCTCGCTTCGACATTTCTTTTGTGTGCTGTATCTTATCGGTGTTTCTTATGCACAGAAATTTAATTCAATTTTGTAAAATTTATTTTTAGATAGCTGCGGGAATAACGTTAGTCGCCCGCAGTCGAATTATATAATACATCAGCTATTATAATATCTGTATTAATTGGTGTGTGTGTGTGTGTGTGTGTGTGTGTGTACGCCGTGTGGTCGAAGACAGAAGGACCCATGAGCAATTATTATAATTTATAACGTTATTATTACGATTCAGTTTTTAGATAAACGTTGATAATATTCATTTTATTTTATAAATCTAAATACAGTTACTAAATAAATGTTAATCTTATTTAAATTTAAAATAATTATGAACATGAAGTTTGGGGGCCTAAACTAGCTGGGGGCCCAGTCCGCGATCGCGGACCTGCGGTCCGGGCCAGTCCGACCCTGGGTAGATAATATAAATATTAGCACTTCTACAGTTCTACAAGCTATATTATTATAATCGTGTGTATTCGTTTTCCCTATCTGCTACAGTTTACAAATAGAAAATAATTTTATTTGCCGTTAAAATTTAATATAAAAAAAGTCAACCAATTTGCGAATCACGCGAATAATATTGTTACAAACACTGTAGATGCAGTGGCAAAATAATTATATGAAATATAATAATAATAATAATAATATAATAATTTAATTATAAACATAATTTTTCGTGTTCTTTTTTATTATTATTATAAAACTTAAACCATTAAAAAGGTAGGTTTAATTTGTTCTTCGATTATATATTTTTACGTTTAAAATTCAAGTAGGTATATTTTATAGAACATAAAATAATTATTATTATCATCACGATTAATGATTATTTTTATTTTTATACACTTGCGTTCAATTAACGAAATTATTTTTTTTTATACGACAAACTTTATACATCTTATTTATTATTATTATTATTTTTTTTTTTTTTTTTGATGCGTATACAAAAGTGCATATAAATTAGAGTACGTATTTAAATTATTCCATCGCAAACGATTATCATAATATAAAACAGTCATAATTAATTTAATTATTTACATTAAATTTTAATCTATTAACAAAATTAAATTTTCGTCGTGAATAACTTTACTATACATATATCGACATGTAATGATCGTTGTTTTTTATTTTTAAAACTTTAATTCTTATAACTGATCAGCTGTTATTATATATTCATATAATATTATAATATAATCTTATTAATAAAATTTAATATATATTTCTATAATATTTATCTTGATTGGTAAACCTATAAGTGAAATTAATTTTCTAATCATACGCGCAAACCTTACTTTTTTATTTTTTATCGCAAAACGATTTTCAATTTATACGTAACTTAACGTCGTTTAACTTCAATGGCTCAAACTCGATTGTTTTAATTATTTTTGCCTATAACATATTGATGATAGTAATAACGTTGACAATTACAGTAGCAGTGGAAAGTTTACTCTATTTAAACATAATTTAGTCACATTAAGAAGTATAATAATAATTTATATACATAACATTACATTACATATATATAGTACACGTGGTCTTATTTTTCACGTCACACATGACTTATAAACACAGATAAAATTGATCTAAATCACT